CTCCTAACCCAACCTGGTGATGTTCATTTAACGGCTTTAGAAATAGTGTTGGGTTTCATATCGTTATATATCTTAGTTTTACTATTATATATTTCTTGCACGCATCTAAAATTTTCAAAAGTAACATCCCTTCCAAATCATGATAAACCCAAAAATACTTTTGAAACGCCAAATTGCTTCGAATAAAGAACTTCCCTTCCCTCAACCCAGCTACCCCCACTCTCTAATATGCCCTCCTTATTAAACGCCTTTTAAGCAAGTGTAAAGACACTGTAGGGGGGAAGCTTATTTAAGCCACTGCTTATTATGAAAGTTGACATTTCTTTATTTTCCAAGATGTGCCCCCATCAAGCCTGTCTTCTGAGATATTCGTAATTGAAAGGCTATTAAATAACAGTTCGGACATTTACAACTCACTAAGCCTACGCACATCATAGGTATAAAAAATGCCCATTGATTTGGTATTCTCATGCGTCTGTCCTGTTATTGATCATGAATTTCGTCACAACATCGTCAAAGTAGCTAGCCGTGGATCCGCAGACTACAGTTATTGTAAAAAGTTTAATTGTTCTCATCCTTTTGAAGCCTTACATTTTAAACTACTTGTAATGAAGTATTATCAGGTCCTGAAAAATTTCCCTTTTAATTTTTACGCTTTTTCTCTTATCTCGATCTCATTAGAACCGTACACAAGTCCGACAAATTTCTACAAGGAACTTCCTAACGCCGACTTCCCAAAGTTACATGATTACGACTGTTTAAATTCGCGTTTGTTCGGCGCATGTCAGCTGGCAGTTTATGACGTCACAGAGGCAAAATACAAGTGCGACATGGACGATCAATGCAAAGCTTTTGTGACTACGGCGGAAACATTATGGACAGGTGAGTGGAGAGAGTCTCTATGATGAACTAGCTGTGCTCCTTGCAAGGCTTGAGTTGGTTATTTTCACGTTATATGGGTAGAGACTCTTCACTCCTGTGGCCTGGAATTGAGTTCGCCTTCACTCCAAGGGATTTAACAACCACGTTCCCAGGCTCCCTCCTTTGCCTCCCACGACAAGGGAAACAAAAGAAAGAGAGACTAGGATCGAGGCTGGGGATTTAACAAGGTTCTGTAGGATTTTTTCTGGGTTTTCGATCAGTTTCCCCTCTTCGAAAAGTAAATACTAATTTTCAGAACATGTTTAATTGATAATTTGTCTAATTGAAAAGAAAAGCAAAACAAAACAAAAAAAGGAACGTCTCGAAAAATAAGGGTGGCATAAATTTCTTTAAAAAGGCTAGTCTGCTAGACTGAGTGGCGTAAGAAACTTGGATTTATGGAGCGCATTAATTTCAGTAATTTTTAACATTTTGGTTGAAATTACTGTTCCCGTTTAATCGAAAAATAATTTTGGAGCATTATTTTGAGCATAGATTTCATCTTTTTATTAATTCTTCACCCATTAGTGCATTCTTTAAAAAGTGCCGCTCGATCGATCGGCTTTGTGTTACACTTCTTTGGTTTACAAGTGTCGTTTGTTAAACATGTTAAAAGTTCCGCTTAAATTACCAGTGAGTTGCAGCTAAGCACACGGATAGACAAGTCTATGGACAATAAACACGTCTACGCTCCTTTTTCCTCAGGTTACTTCATCGTGTATTTAAAGAATGACACATCACATGTCCAGCCTAACAAAGACACCACAATTTACATCAAACAGCCCATCCACGTGAAAAGTAATGTAGTTACGTTACCTTGACAACCAACTGCGACCTGCGTCTAAGTAATTAATATCAATCAACACGCACAAAAAGCAAGTTTTCTAGTGTTTACTTAAAGAGAAGTTGTCAACGTTCGGCAGAGGCAACAGGTAACCTTCCTTACTCCCGATATCGTCCCTTTCTGGCAACGAAGGTAGACAACGGTTGCCTGGCCTCTGGAGGAGCCACGAGGCACGTTGTTGCAGAGGTGTATTTGCGATGTGACGTCGTCCAAGTGCCTTCTGGCAGATGGAAGCGTTGCATTTGAGTTATTTGATGTCATTGAAGATAATAAAAGAATAAACCAAGGCTGATGCCGAGAGTTGCTTTCTTTGAACAATATGACGGCCTTGGTACGTTGGCATTCAAACGGAAATGAACAATAGAAAAGAATAAAGATACCACTGAATGACAAAATCACTTCCAATATAAACAGTAGTCAGAAGGTATTGTTCTATAACAGAGCGCGCAGCGTCTTCAGTTCGCGACAGGGGACGGGAGGGGGAGAGGGGTACCCCCACAAATTTAGGCTGGGGACGTGCCACGCACTTCATGAAGCCCTTACGCTATTTCAGACCAAAGCATGCGATTTTCGATACCCTGTTTCATACTGACTCACAATTCGATATCGTGTTCTAGAGCTCTAAAAGAAGCACACGTCTCTAGTCAAGAAATTATCAAAGTAAGCTTACCTTGATAATCTCTCGCTCTAGTACATGACCTCAACTAACCGGCAGGAATGGTATATATTTGCGTAATTCGAATTCCTGATTTTAATGGAAAAACCTAGTTGGCATCTAAACTACATACAAATGCTTAAAGAGAGTGTAAAGCATACCCTTTCACGGACCAAGAGTCAAAATCTACAGTATAATTCAGATTAAAACGGCTGAGAAACCACACCCTTTGGCGCCTTATATACGTATGTAAGAGAGCAGCCCGTTTTATAACCATCAGTTACAACACGTAAATACACTTCTTTATTCTCGTACTAGGCTCATCACGGCGTCCAGTAGAGAAAGGGTGCTTGATCTACGGGCATAATCTTTAAGTTGCACGCCATATGCATGAGATTTTCTTTTGTTCGTGGCCATAATGGCCTTTAAACTTGGTTAGAATTGGCCCTGGAAAAAAGGAACCACCGTAAACGTTCAAAGCCTCATAACATTACATGACTCACGTAAAATTTGTCTACTAGTGCTACTGTATTTTCTCAATTAAACGCTGGGTGCCAAGATGGTAAATAAACCTCATCGGCATCTTTTTCGAGGTATCGTTTCTTTCATAACGAGTTGTACTTATCACTCCACTAAGTTGTAACGGGTACGACCTCAGAACCAAATTCTCTATAACTTGTTTTATAAATTACTGACTACAGACAAAGTCGGTGACACTATTTTCGGGATTTCTAGATGTTTTCTTGATAGATTTGCATTTGACTCATCAAACTCCAAGTATTTGTCTCAAAACAATACTAGAGTATACTACTTATGTTCTTAAAATAAAATTTCCTGAAATTAAAGAGAGTGTGCAAATGTCATGTTCATTCAGCTAGAATAAGTAGGATCTTTTGTGAACTTTACATAAAATAGGTAGTTGTTAATTTGACAACGTTTTATTTGCAATGCCTTTTATATGCTTTGCTGGGCTGCAGTATATGTATGATTGTATCCGAGTTCCTCTCAAGCAAGGGTGTGTACGTAACACTTCACGTTCGTTAGGTAACGTGAAAGGCTCTTTATGTCTTTCTTCTGGCCTATTTTTCCCAGTTTTAGCTAAAGCTTTAGTTAAAACTGTGGGCCCCAAAATTATATCACGCACAAAATATGTTACGCCTTGCCGAAATTTACCGCCTGTTTCCTAGACGCATTACCGCCGAGTTTGTCTTTCCTATATGTATATCCCAAGGTGTGTTATTACGAAATGTAAACTTTAGTATGAGTTAGGTATATATACCGGCACTTCGTGTTGTATTATACTCCCTGACGAAGTGTGCGTTAGCCACACGAAACGCGTAGGAGAAATAAAGAAGTTATTCAACTGCGTATACAGTTCGCAGAGTGCTGCTCACTAGTTACGTTTTCATTAAATTGTCACCTAGTAAATATGTGGACAACTTGAGCGAATTTATTTGGGCAAATGGCTCACCGCCCTCCCCCCCCCTTGGGAAAAAGTTGCCCGTACGCCTCTGACGTGATGGCAAACTCAAAGACTGAAAGACTGAAAGGTTTAAAACTGTTCTGCAAAGTTTCTTCAAGCCATAGTGTACATTGAATCGAATAAAAGGCAGTTTTAAATCAACGTTTTTTACAAGTTTTAGGTCGACTGGACCTCTTTACTGCACATAAGTATCATCAGCTATTGCGCAGGTCGAAATCATTTATCTAACGAGAGCCTTAAGTTCTTTACGATAATTTCCGCTGAAAATAAAACAGATACAAGGATTTATGGCACAATTTGCTAGAGCTATGAAATGAGCCGCACAGACAAAGTGTAGGAAGCCACAATTCGCCAGGGGGTTGGTGGTCGTAAAGGAGGTAATAATCCAGCCGATAGCGAAGGGCAGCCAGCGTACTGGAAACCCTACCACAATAGCAATGGCCATCTTTAACACATTTCGCTCCCTTTGCTGACGTTGTTGTCTAGCGTTGGCCGATTGCTCGCCTGGAATCTTCTGCGACTTGAGCTTTAGATAGATGATAGTGTAAAGTATGGCTATCAACACCAACGGGATAAACTTGAATACAACTATATAGGACGCGATGTAATTCTCAGAGGATGAGGACTCTCTAAAGACTTCATTCCAATGCCGCTCACAAACCAGTTCCCCGGGATATTCAACAAGTTCGTGGACGAAGAGCTTTGGGGATTGGAAAGCGATCGCGACGATCCAAGTGGCGAGAATGAAGAACGGGCACAGTTTTGAACTGATGAGTGGGGAACGGAGGGGATATACCACAGCACCAAATCGATCGACTGCTATCAGAACCAGGCTCTGAACAGACACAGCAGCGGAGATTTCTAATATGAAGCCATCCATCTTACATAAGGCCTGGCCAAGGGGACCACCGATCAGCCAGGAGTTCATATAGAGCCTTTGTATCTCCTGAGGGATGAAGAAAATCGAAAACAGCAGATCGGACACGGCCACGTTTATAATGAAAAAGTTGATGGGTTTTCTCATGGTTTGCGTCTTGTAGACAATTATTCCGATGACGCTGTTCGCTGCCAACGAAACAATAAAGACCAGGCAGTAAGCGAAGGTCAATCCAATTTTTTGTGCTGTAGGATTCCAGTAGCAGCTCGATGGCTGTGTTCCATTCATCGTTGTACTCACGTTTTCCGACATTGCCGTTCGGTTTCTTTTTCCACTTTTATGCTCACAAATTAGTTTTCTTCTGGTTTGTTCTCTTAGCAAAGTCACTCTATTTATTTTCTAGCGAAGGCAGGATCTCTATTCGGCTTGTTGTCGTCATTCGCGCGGAAAGGATGATCGATTAGAAAATTTCCACGACATGTTTAAGGATTGGCAGATCTTTGTTGCAGCTGTCTGATGCTTATTTGCACCAATAGTTAGGGTTTCTTATTTCGTGCGTAGCTCAACAAAATGAAGCGACCTATCAGCTTGCGTCACAAATTGCTTTTCATTTCACATCTTAACGTCAATGAACTAAACTGGAAGCAGACACCATCCTATGACGGCAATTATATTGTCAGGTTATATTGTAACGTGACATAACAAAGCCACGCAATGAACACGATTTTATATCTTAATTTAATTTAAGGTGGCTCAATAGTCCCAAAATGGCTATTTGTAAGACATTTTCTACGAAACTTGTGTACCCATTACTGAAACGTTTGTTACAACACCAGATACAACACTTCTTGAAGTTTCTAATTCTCAAAGTTGAATTCCTTAATTTCCTAAGCAACCGCAACCATAAATTGAACCACACCCAATTTGGGGCTTTTCAAAGCTGGGTTTACGTTTCATTTTTCTGAAGTGAAGAAAGATAAAGAGCTGAAACTTGGCAGGCATTATCATCTTATATAAAGCTATGCAATGACCCACTTTGAGGGGAATATACACAACCAATCAGTGTTTATATATGCAAGAAGAAAGTGAACAAAATGAGCGTAAACTCTGACCAGGTAAAATGAACTTCCACTTGAAGTACTAGTCAAAATCTCGTAAAAGTGGGTCATTGCACAGCTTTTACACACCTAAAAGCACTGGGAAAATTTCATTGGATTATCTAAAATACTTTTTAAGATATTAGGTTTCTTAGTGGACAGAAACCTTGAAAACGGAAAGCGGAAAAAAAAAACAATACAGTTTCCATGGTAACCAAGTCTATGGCTTTCAAAAACTTTGAAAATCGACCAAAATAGCCCGCAAATACGGAAAAAAAAAACAAAGTGATATTGATCATACTATGTCTAAACTTACCGAAAATTATTTTTCCCAACATTTGAAAATTTTTACCATTTTGGGATTATTGACCTTAACGTCAATGAATTGAACTGGAGACAGACATTATCCTATGACATCAATGCTGCAACAGATGGAGTAGTGGTAGCTGGCTGGATTGTTTTTAAATCTTTTTCAAGCATGATAAACAGTCGCTAAATTTTCTTCTTCCTGCCATTAATTGGTCGTGCATCAAATTGTCCATCAAGACGAGTCAGTGAGAACACAGGATGTTCAACGATGGAACCCGAGTTCAACAAGAAAAACAAAGCAATCATCCTGATGCCTTATAAGAGAATGCGTGTTGTCGGCGTTTAAAGGAGCTCAGTCACTGTTTGCGCATATTGAAAAGTTTAGCCTCAATTTTTCAAATTCGTCGTTTGTAATTCGTGTGAATCTTCACCATCCTTCGCCATTCTTGTTCCTTTATGGTTTATCATTATGTCTTTGGTTTTTTTTCTAACTTATTAAACTGTTATTTTCAGGTTTCCTACCATTTAAAGGTTATTTTGTTTGTGGCCAAAATAACTCAAAATACCTTGACAGAGCTCCTTTAAATTTAGAAGTTTAATGTCCAATATAAAGACAGCCTAAACCGCCTAATCAAAGGCTGCCGCGCAAATGTGATATGAGTTTACTCTGCAGAGTTTTCTCTTCTGTGCATTGCATATGACGTCAACACTGGCTAATAATTTCAGAATCGGATCTAAACTCGGTTTGTATCACACGAGAGTCTTTCTTTAAAAAGGTTTTACACCTGTGTATGAAAATTGATGGATTTGGGTGGAGAGGAGAGAGGACAACGCGTTTAACCTGTTTTCTCAAAATGAAGGAAAAACCAAAAATATAATCATTGATGTCAAACAAAGAAGTATTCAATTACTTTTCTATCCATTATTTTCCCGAAAAACCCCATCAGGTCTACGGTGTGGGATTACTGGACCAGCTTAACTTCAGTTTCCATTGCATGTTTGTTGATAGCGTTTCACAGGCCACTAAAAACGACTGGTTTTATACGAGGCCTAGGAGCGCGCCCAAATTTCTCTCGGCCATATTTCCCCTGTTCGCTTTTTCCTACTTTCACCTAACAATCTGTGAGTAGCGACTGAAGCGAGCACACTTTGGGATAGCGACGAAGCGGCGGAAAAAAAAATGTTTTTTTGTTGTTGTTTTTTTTTAAACCAATGAAACCAGAAAATGGTTTCATTTTTGGAAAACTATAAGAGCGTTTGAATATATTCTGAATAAAATTATATTCTTTTCAAATGGTTGCGTGACATTTCCTCAGAAAAAAACAGGAAGTTGATGATCTCATCTCTTTATGGACTTTCCCGAGGAAATGAGTCATCAAATCAGCAATTAGCAGATGCGTCTTGCATAAAATTTTGGGGATTAAGCTATATTTACATTTGTATTGTCTTTCGAGCTGTGCGAACAAGCACTTTTAGTAAACGTTATGAGTAAATTTTGCTTCAATATAAATATCTTATATCATATTATAGAATGGCATGTGATAAAGAAATTCACGATGAATTAGCTAAAACAGAAGTAATATGTATATTTTGCAATGAACATATTGATAACATATTGCTAATAGAGATGATGCTTGTTGTGAAAATCAAATGATTTAAAATATAAATCATCAATATACTTGCATTCGAGTTCATGGGTTTGAATTTGCTAATGAGTATATGGATTTTCATGAAAATAAGTTCAAATGATCAAGAAATCAGTCTACCATAGAAAGTATCATCTTAACAATATAATAAATCAAATATGTGATAAAAATGAGTTGCATATCTCAACTTCCAATCTAATCAAAATACATCAAATTTTTCAAGACATTGATAAAATAACTACCTCAGATTAATGGAGCAAGAAAAAGAATGATTTCTATCTCTTGTCTATTGAAAAAGATCTTAAAGTTGATGAAGTTGGATTCCAAAAAGATATCAATCAGTCAATCAAAAAGGACTTTAGCTTTTTATGCTCAGTATTTTAGAAAATTTTAGTGAATTATATTCGAATTTGAATTATATTCCTTTTTATATGAAGTGATTCCATCAGTAAGATCTCTTGCGAAATTGTCTATACTGGACGTCATATCAATTAACGATTGTTGATTGTATTCACCAGATCTAAAAGAATCTTTTAAACTGACTAGCAAATGTTGATATGAATCAGAGCAGTACTTATGATTCTGTATCTTTAGATCCAGATCTGTATTTCATACAAACTTGTAATAAGAAGAATTCCTCCTGACGCTATAGCAGAAATGATTCCTAAGCTTCCAAATAAAATTGATAGTCTCCAATGTACCTTAGTCTTTTATATTTTTTATAGGCCTTTTTATGGCCATAAGCGCTAAGATGGTAGGTTTTATAATATGCTTTTAATTCTTGTATTTGTGGTTTATTTAAAGCGTTATTTATATGATTGAAATCAATATTTTTATTTTGTCTTTCATATATATAGGATAGATAAAATCACTCAAAATTATGTGCCTTTTGATTTCTACGAAACTAGGATTTTATGAAACTCTTTACTGTTTAAATCATAAAAATTTTTAGTGATGCCAACTCTTTGAATTTTATAATGCACATCTATTGAAAATATTTTTGTTGAATAAGGAGTTTGACTAAAATTATCAGTTGTTTGGATATTCGGGCAGCGAAGTTCTGCACTGCTTGAAGTTTGAGGAGGTTAGCTAGTAGTTGCTGCATTTGACCTGACCGACGAACAATTCTCCAGCCAGGTCTCGCTTAGTGAGAATGAAGTGGTTCCTATTCTTTATAGAGCGAGCATTCAAATGAGCTATTGTGATGTTCTCTTCACGACGTTTCGAAGCGTTCGCGTTGCAGCGTTCATTAGAATTAGTCGCGACAATCATTCCAGGATTCACTTCAACGTCACCCGATAGCAGAATGCGTGCGATAGCGAAGGAAGCAGAGGAATTCGAGTAATAAGGCACTTTAGATTTGAAGAGACCTTTGAGAGTGAAGTTCGTGGTCCTTCGAATTGCAGCCTTGCTTTCAAGTACAGCAAATATGGAAGATGTTCACGTTAAAGTTACATTTGATTCAGCAAACGTCAAGTATTTATCTCTAAAAATTGGGCCAATATATACAGGATGAAAAGTACTCTTCTTAAATAACGTAACCGGCGCTTGGCCTCCAAGAAAAGCCTGGTCTCAGAGGCAAGCTTTTAAATGAGTCCCCGACGTTTGATCGAAAATAGGCAATAGGTATGTGGTGTGTCTTTACATTTGTCGATCCTTCCATCAACCCTTTCCATGCCATGTGAAATAAACTATAAGCTCTGAACGATTCACAATTTGCCGAGTCCATATAATTTTTTCTTGGTTCTCCAGACCTGTCCTTGAAACCATAAGGTTTACACGAAATTTTATGATTATTAATGGTAATAGGACTGAGTGGAGTCCAATTCGGTCTGTAATCATACGAGTGATTAACAAAATCGGACGACCGCGAAGCGGGAATCCGATTTGTTAATCACGAGTATTATTACAGACTGAATTGGACGACGCGAAACCCTGTTACTTGTTTACAGTAGTAGAAAAAAACTGTTGTTATTATGACAAAATTCGAGAAACGAACAAACCATCGATTGAGCGCTGAACGATTAAACGTCGTTATGAATGCTGAAAAACACAGCAGTTTACTCAACAAAG